ACACTGACAAATTACAACGTGGTCAGTGTACGAAAATTAAGCTCGCACGGGGCTTTTATTCTTCTCCTGTTTGCCGGGTGACTAATTTATCAAAATTTCTCAACCGAAAGCCGTCCCTTAGTTTACCTCTAGTGTACAGGGAGACTACGTAATTCGATTTGGACTTTAGCTGTCCGTAACTGGTAACTTCTACCGCATGGCCGGACTATAATACAAGACGCGCACTTAGGGTGTGCTGCCGCAGCAGATGCGTGTAAATCCTTTGCGAGAATAGCCGGCTCATGTCACCAGTGACACGGCGAAACGAACGTTAAAAATGAACTGTGCACTGGGAGACGGACAAAGGTCGACTTTAAACACCCTCGGTAGGCAACAGTAATTATATTGACTTCCGAAAAATTTAATCATCCAGTCTGACGTTAAACGCTTTGTATGTAATTCGATGTAACGATTCAAAAACAAACATGCCAAGAACAAAATAATTAAATGTCATGCAATAGTTAAGTTTTAATTGTCTGCTTAAGAGTAACGATTTTTAATATTCAAATGAAGATTGTTATGTATAATTTTTAGGACCATTACTAATGGAATTCATTTACCCGAAAATGTACACGATCAAAAAATGTCGACTTGACCGGAAGGATTACCAAATTAATCTATCTATTGATATTAATAGACACCGAATCACTTTACGCAGACTACTTAAAACATAATGCTCCTCGGACAAGTCAGTGTATGAAAATAGATTTACTGCACCTCAAGCTAGCAGAAATTATTTTTACATCATGTTTTGCATAATAAAATATGAACATTCCGACTCAGATGATGAGATATGCGTGACAGAAGCAAAAACGCACTATATTTTGTCACGTTGCACCAAATAGACTACTAAGATGTAACGCTAAGACATTTAACACTCGCTAAAAGTATATATATATACCAACTGAAGTAAATTTCAATGATAATCTAAAAATGAAAGCTCAGAAGAGAGAATAACTAAATGTTCGTGTAAATTAATGGTAACGATAAAGTAAATAAATAGAGAAATATTATTTTCAAGGTTAATATATAAAAGCAACATAATTTGTTAATATAGAATCGGTCAACATAATCAGACTTAATAGAGTAACACGCTTACTACAGTTTAAAAAATAAGCCGTCATAAGTTACACATCGATTTCAATAATTTTGAAACTAATTCAATAGCAAACCCCAAATACAAATTAAACCTTTTATTCGCTCTTAAATATTGCAATCTTTTAATTTGTAAAATTAAAATAAAATATATTAGTCAAATTAATTGATTCAATCTATTAATAATACGTATAATTTACATTAATTCACTAATAACAAAATAGTACACAAAATGCATATTCTACGTAACCCATTAATGCACTTGTAACGATTAAACACAGACGTGGGTCAATCGTACATGTCATCTCACACATAATCGAATATAGTTACACATTATGCGTTAATTGAAAAGAGCAAATATTAATAAATTATTCGATGAGTGACTCAACACGGCATTTTGTTTTTAATAAATCACTATTAAACTGTGTTTCAATGTATTAAATTTATATCATCATTGGAAGCCTTTGCTGTTAATACCTTTTTGGAATACAGTAAATTTAAGATAGATATCAATCGTTTAATAGGGTTGCACAAGTACACCATTTTGCGATGTGTTTGTGTAAAAGCCACTGTGTAACCGAATTACTTGATTGACTGCAATTTAAAGATTCACAGTCACGCGACAATCCAAGTCATTTCCACGAAACTCCCGTTCAATTATATTACACGAATCGGATCATCGTGAAATTACAGTGCAACAAAAATGACACTCCACTTACTACGACTATGGTGTGTTTTGCAGTTGACCAACATTGACAATCAAAAGCCCGTTCAATTATAATAACAAATAGAACGGGCGCGATATTTTCGCCGGACGAAAACACTTAGAAAAGCCCAACGGTTTAGTACCTGGAAAACGGCATTTGCCGACATACGTGTACTGAGTAATGCCAACGAGTAAATTGTTATTGTGGGACATAATAGAACGGTAGAGATCTTAGGGTGTTTCCCGGCGTCCGGTATCATAACGTTTCGCCCTCGTACGAGTCGGATAAAAAAAAAACAAAAACTGAGAGCGTAACAAAACGTTCGGTCCGACAACAACGGGGGGGGGGGGGGGGGGAAAGGGAGAAAGAAAAATATTATTACACTACTTAAAAAGCTTTCTGGAATTGCAACTGGGACCACCGTTTTCCTTAATCTCAAACCCTCGGGTATTATTTTTGGTGCTTTTAATTTTATCGCCACGGCAAACGATGGAGCAGCCGGTCCATGACGACTTTGGCGTGCAAATGTACTCTCGTTTTCTTGGCAAAACAAATTTTTACGACATCGCCGGCGATAAACACCCTCGCCCCCTCAAATTGCGATCGCGGGGTACACGCATCCGGCCGGCACCGAGCAAAACGCAGTTCGCAACAACTCATCGGCCTGTTGTTTAATGCTCTGACGCAGCCTTTGCCGTTTCACGTTTAAGAGCGGCATAAAAGCTTTGGCGCGGCTAACGAGGATTTTGATAGACATGTGCCCGTCCCCGGAGATTAACCCCAACGGAGCTCGTTTTATTAAATCGACCTTAAATGGTAGTGGCCACCATCATTAATATGCGTGTGATAGTCGGGTTTGAACGGTCTTAAAAAATTTAATACGTCTAACACATGTTACAAATGGTCCTGTGTTTCGAGGTGAATAATTTGCGCCGTCAAGTCGCAATAAAACAGAATTTAGCCGTCAAAAGTTGAAACCGAACACGTTATCAAGCGCCGAAGACACAACAGTTATAGAGTACATCGTTCCTATGTGCCACTCGTGTTTTTAATAATTATTTTAAAAACGTGATCCGTTTGAATATGAACAAATGTTCAAAAAATAAACAATGACAAAGTACGGTCGATGGTTGTCGGTGGATTTTTTTCTTATTAAAAACGCCCTAAATTTGTTCATCCATCATGTTTTTCAATTAAAAACGAGGTTCGCGCGTTTCTCCCGTGAAAATTATACTCGCCAAATTATTCATAATATCCACACCACCGGCAGCAATAATAATAATTATAATATATCGTCTCGCTACTATAAGTGAATATGAATTATGATAGCGGCCCGAGGAATTTTAATATTGTTATTATTGTCGTCATTATTGAACGCGGCGGGGGCGTAAGATGCCTTAGGTATTTTGTTGCATTTTAATACAAGCGGGTGGTACTTTGGCGAACGTTTTTTTTAGCAATTGCTAATTCCGGTCGATTACATCCAATATCTTTTCTGGGGCAATTTCGAACTATTTTCCTGGTCATCAGAAAAAAAATTAGGTTCAAGAATGCGCGAGTGACCAAATACTAAAACAATGATCATAAACTTTAACGTTTTGTTCTTTTTTTATCCGTTTTTTTGTAAGAGTTTTATTTGTTGGAATTAATCGTTTCCGAATTTCGACGAATCATTGCTTACGGGTCCTTTTTTTATTATTATTATTATTATTATACCAGTTTCATATTGATCGAACGCCGGGCAAGATGCGAGCAGTATTGCAATTAATTTAGTTGCCGAACAAAAGTTTACTAATCCTGTTTTACGATTCTTTGCTTTTTGTACCTTCTCGACGATAACTAACCAATCGATAATTATTATTCAACTAATAAATACATTATCTATAAACGAGAAAGAATTAAAATATAACTTAAGCCTGGGCTTAAATAATCGGCTCTGAGATTAAACTATTCGCACGAAATTCAACTTATTATTGCGTTGCTTTGAAATCCTACGGCGATTCTTATGCTACAATTCCATTGTTTTTAAATCAATACCCGTTTTTCTTTAATTTAATTCGTTTTTCATTAATTTTTTTCATCGCCCGACACCTTTGAAGGAAACGGCGACAAACGCACGTGCATAATTTAATGACCGAGTTGTTCTCTTATTTACTTCTTCAATGTAATAAGTTTTCCAGAATATTAATTTTAAAACCGTGAACTTTTGCATACAGTGTGGATTAATAAATACACGCGGTAAGAGAATTATGAAAATTCTTAACAAAGTTAAATGCAAAATAAAACACAATGCCGTTGTAAGTTTTAACCAAAAGACTAATTACTAGAGTTGGACTCGTTCAAATGAAACTACGACTGTTTCGGGGCACTGTAGAAAGTACAATTTAACTATGACAGTAAAATATTACGAAGCATAATTTTGTGCTAATATTTTTTTATCAATTTCATTAAAAAAAAAAATAACGTTTTCGTCGCTCGTTATTATGCATTTCAAATATCTGCCATAAAAATTATGATTAATGATCGCATTTCGTGCATCCGTAAAAACTTTTCGAATATCTAAATCTTGTTGGAATAATGTCATCGAGTACACTGGAATTGAACTTCTGAGGCTCGATTAGGAGGTGGGGTTGCCGAAATCGGTACATTTGACAGTGTACGGCTTTAGCATTTGAGATTGCCTACAATGAGCGCGTATGCAACCGTATCTCGAGGGATGGGCTCAGGTGGTAATCATCAAATTGACTCAAGTACAAGTACGTGTAAGCACCCCGAAAACGTCCCTGGACTGCGACAAAAACCGTACAAGTAAACTCGAACGCTTTTCGCTAATTGCTTTTGTTCCTAAGCTCGAAAAAACGTATTGTTAAAAAAATAACATAAACTTTCGTACACGCTGAAAATCCAATTAAAATACTTATTTCTCGGTTCAAACATTTTACACGCGCCTGGATATAGCAAAAAAAAAAAAAAATTATGTTAATTACAATTCAATTCGTTATAAAAATTTCCCATTTCGTTAAACCTTTAACCGCTTGTCGTCGTTAATTTTATTTAGTTTTTAATGTCTCGTGCTCAACAGCAACACAAAAGGCTATGGAAAATCGACAATTTGATATTTAATTACAACGGGAGATAATCGTTTATCTCGAATTTTACCTGAAATTTTCCGGGCCCGTGAACGGGTAAGTCCTGAACACTGTGCTGCGGTTGAGGTTTGATTAGAGAAACACAATATTGAAATGTCAGCGAGCGGTTCAAGAAAAAAACAACCGCAATTGTGGCGCGCACTCGGATAAGTTCGAAACGCAGACGGACAAAGGCGTGTTGGGCGCGTGCGACGCTAAAAGCTCGACCGGATTGACTACCACTCGGCGTTGTGGTGTGCGTGTATATGTGTACGATAACTGTGGCAGCGAAGGGAGCCCGTTTCCCAAAGTCGCCAGCGGCACCACCACCGCAGAGCAGTCTCGCTAGCGCGCGCATACACACACACACACTCTCCGTAATCAGACAACCGACGATGCTCTTGTCCCTCTTACTGTGGGGAAGCCGCCGCCGCCGCCACATCCTCTCCTCGTTCAAAACTTGCCCTCGCCGCTCCGTTGTTGCATAGTAAAATAAAAACAACGACCGCCGGCACGTTGCGGTGACAGCTACGGCCAATGCTAGAAATTGTTTATTTTTTTAAATATAATTTTTTTTAATATACTAAAACTATTAACTACAATTGATGTTTACGCTAGTGTCATATACTTATCGCCAACGATTCTGTCAAGAAAATCAAATCTCTCGAGCATAAACGAATGACATGCGAAAATCGATTGACGAATTTGACTTGCTGCAAGTAAGTACAATTTTCTGTTTTCACGGTATAAATACTTTCGATTTTAACATCTACTTCAGCATAGTTTTCCAATTATATTTCTTTAATATATTTTCCGATGAGATGTTTAAAAGCTCATTGAAGCATTTTCAATCGACAATTTCATATATATTTTATTTTAACCGAGTAAAAATCAACAAAACATAAACTTTGGCTGACAATAAGTCTATGGTTAACTTTTGGTAATTTTACTACTGTTATGATGTTAGTAACTAAAAAAATCTAAATTATATTTTAAATAAAAACCTAAAAAAATAACTATCAAATAATTCGTAGAGCTATTGGGTTTTTATAAATACTACAAATAAATTTTCACTTTTAATTAAAAAACTGTGATAAATTTCAAAATTAATTTGTATTAGGACAAAAAGAATCGATTTTTTCCAACACCGCAGTTAAGGATAAAAACATAATAGAAATGTCTTACGTTATTATTATTTGACTTTTCTTTTCACGGACGAAGCATTGTCTCTATTTTCTATTTGAGAAATACATTACATTATCTACCATTGTCAATGTCAGTTTTGATTGAGATTTATTTTTCTTATGGTTTTTTTAACGCAACGAGTAAAAATAAAAATTCAAGATTATCTACTAGAAATGAAAAAAAGAATTTTACACTGAAACCGATCGAATACACTTGCATTTTACTCGAAATGGATATGCATTTCAAGCACGGGCACACCGAGAAGAGCTGATAATTTATTACTTTTATACTTATTTTAGACAGGAAGTAAATATATGATGACGTTTTAGTGGAATATATGTAGAGCATTTTATGTGAGAACTATAAAAATGTACTTTTCATACTATTGGTAGTAAAAAGGTAAATCTTATAAAACATTGAATTCAATATTGTAAAAATATCGTAATGACACGAGTTGCTCATTTAAAAAGATTTCAGTTCATTTTAAAGACGACATTTTTCCAACCACTTTTCTAGATTTTCAAGCGAATCGTTTTATACATTTAAAAATAATAGTTTACAATAATAGATTGTTACAAATTCCTACTTAGGATAATTGAAACGCCTAAACAAAAACCATTATTTTACTTAATTGTTAAATAAAAGTTTTACATTGTTAGCCTGGCATTAAGCTATTGCAAGTGTTCCCGAGTAAACTTATTCCATAAAATTTATTGGTTAACAGGAAAATATGATTTAGTTAAAAAAAAAGTGTTTTATAAAATAAACGTAAAAAAAAATTACATAGAAAGAAAGTATTAAAAAAAAAAAAAAAACTATTATAATAACCGTTTTTTAGTCTTTCACACTGAATACTGAACTGACATATTTTTTAAATTAAAATTCTCTTCAAATTACTACACCGACTTGATTTTAATTCGTATTATTAAAATTTGTAATAATTCAAAGATATACTCATTTTTACTCTGATTAAAGTACAGTAAAATATTTTACATTATCTTTTTTTTTTCTTTGGACTTTTGAACACGCATAATCGTAAGAAAACTTTTTTGATTACATCTGATTATAAGCTTATTTCTGTTCATACGACATTTCATCCGACAAGACACTTTTCAAACGATCATTACCCGGGTTTCGTTCTAAAAATGCTTTGGTCTTTTATCCCTGTACCTACATAGAAAATAAGAAAACTACAACCGTTACGGAATTACTTCACATGCCCATTTATTCAATTGTACAATAAGTTGTAACAACGAGATATTACATTGGTACTTCGTTTTCTTTCTAGTTAAAATCACGTCTCCAGCTGCGGTTGTATGCTGTACATTTTTTTAAGTATTATCCAAACAACAATGCTTTTCTCAGCTTGATAAAACACAGTGTCCTTACCGGAGGCTAAGAAAATTGTTTATATTTCATGCAACGTAAACATCTGGTGTACCTAAATTTTTTTCGTTTTTTCTGTTACATTTATGAACGTAAAATATATTTCATTTATTACTGATTTTATCTAGCCTAATCAATATCTAAGAAAACCTATAGTTTCAAATTATTTAATTTAAGTTATTTATTTACGAACAAGATGAAGTATGATGTTTATTTTCGTATAATCATCAGGACAATATTTGGTTTATAAATAATGTTTAGATACCTGATATTATTAGCATTCCTTCAGTGAATAAGAAAATCTCAAAATATGAATATTTTAATAATTCAATTACATGATATTCGATATGTTAATTTAGAGGGATATTCTTCAGAAGAAAATAGATAATTTTGAATTAAGAGTTCTATACTATTCTGATGAAATATAATTTTTATATCAACATTGCGCCACAGCGGTGCTTTAATAAGTAAAAAGTTTCAATTTTATTTCAAATGAAACTGGATATTTCAGTTGACGTCGCTATTTAATGACATGAAATATTTTGTTGTATTTTCCATAATAATACAAATTTATTATTGAGATTTTTTATTATAGAATTGATTTATCTTCTTTTTCCTTTTTTTAATTCATGACTTTTTTCAATCTAAATATTTTGCACGAGAAACAGAAAATTGTATGAAAGAGGCGAGACAAGTGGACGCTTGAGGATAGATGATCTTCTTGGGTTTGAAAAAATATAGTGAAGATTGCGATTTTTTTATGAAAATATTTAAAACATATTAATCAAATAATGACAAATATTTAAAAAATAATTTTTATAAACTTGAACACTTATGTTCGTCGTAAATTTCATTTCTAAATTATTCGCAAAAACTATATAATATTGTTGTTTTACAACGTAAAGTTTTAACTTGAGCGTAAATAAATACAAATAAAAAAATTTATACATTTGAAATCAAATATCACTAATAAAAAGTCTTTGAAATTTCAAGTCTTATTCGAATTAAAGGAGCGCTACTAGGAAACGTTTTTAAATAAAAATGAAATGAGAAAAATTGGTTTTTTCGTTATTTTTACACATTAAAGCATAAAATTGTCAACTTGCCCCACCCTCCCCTACTGTTGTGTAAATTATATAAGTCCTTCATATATAGTTGCGTGAACACGTGTGTACACTTAAGTATTATTACTCGTGTCAATGTGAAAAAAAATGAACAACCTAAGGAAATTGATGTTCAAAATAAAACGATAAGTCAATTTTCTTACAATAATTGTTAAAATAATGATACATTTTTTTTTCTAAAATATTTTTTAGATATGTAATATTTTTAATGACATGTAAGAAATGTATGGGCTCTTCTTATATCTGCATGAGTCAGAATTGCGATAAAAGGAAAAAGCTGTTTGCTACACATCATTTAGGCGAATATGTAGAAACCGCTGAACTACATAATTTATACTTTGCAATTTTTCTTTTGTAATTCTCTGTGAATGTCCTTAAACTTAGGAAGAGGGAGGAAAGGAAAAGCTGTCGTGTTATCTATATGTAAGTCGTATTTCATTTGCACTGTAGCTAAATGTCACAACAGAAACTCAAGTTTTGGATCTTATTATTATCAGCTTCCATAAAAGAAACAAAATTACTAACAAGTTCGTCTCTTGTCGAGGCTCTTATGCAAACAAATTTCAAATACTTTTTATTATTCTTAAGAATTGAATGCAATAAAATGCTCAGGGATAAAGAATAATTACTAATTATAACAACATAAACATGTGTAGAAGTGCTATAAATTTATTACTGTTAAAATATCAATTTTTAATGATATTTTATCAAAACAATTAAATTTTGCTGTTTAAACATTATATACTAAATTTATTTTTCTTAGGTGATATTCATTCACATTTATATATAGAAGTTCAATAAGTAGAGAAATGTATTTTTATTGTTTTCGTCGTTTACAAAAATTGACCTGTTTCCTTACTTTTTGAACACCCCATAAACACATATAAACGTTGTACATAAATATTTCTTGAAATTTTATGAATAAATTAGACAACAACAAGAACTATAAAGCATAATTTCACATAGGCAAGTGCACAAATTTAAGATGACATTTCATATCATTGCGTCCACTACCTTTCATCAACCGCCTTTCCATTAAAAATAAATATTTATTTTGAAATTAATATATTATTCACAAAACAAAGTTGAATTTTTAAAGAGACATTATGAAAGAGAAAGGTCTTTTTATTTAAAAAAAATACTTAACATTTTTTTTTTCAGAAACTGTGTTATTCTATACTTCGATGATAAGTTTACCCTTCTCACACTTTTTATGCGTTCTGTATACAGATGAAAAGACAACAAATAGGTCATATCTATGCGGACACTAAACGTGCTAAATAGGGATCTTTTGACTTCAAACGCACCTTAGAGACACAAAAGAGGGTGACGTTTAAAGGAAACGAGTTTCAGTGATAACGCCTAAGCTAAAGTGTATTACAAACAGAGAAAAAAATAAAATAATGTCCTTGCTGTGTAACATGCGTCTGTTTACTTTTTGACAAAAAGACAAAACCCATTACTTGGGTTCTTGTAGGTTTAAAAAAAATATGATTTTCCATGATCTCCAACCTTGAATTTCTTAAAAAAAACCCAAAATAAGCA